TTAGCCACTGGGCCGCACAGCCCTTAGAAAACCCGCGGGTCTATAAAAAAGCTTCAGGGGAGAATTGAGATTTGGGGCAGTACAGCCAGCCTTGCAAGTCCAACAAGTCCGGGCAGAGAGACAGACACGGAGACGTAGCTGAGAACAGGCTGCAGAACAGAGGCAGCAGCACGGGAAGGGGTGCCTTCCATAGGCCCTGCTGCACCCTGAGCCCTCTGCTGAACACTTAGGCTTAGAAAGTTGGGGATTGGGTCTACCTGGGGCCCAGTGAAGCCGATCCCTAGCTCTCTGACCCTGGACCCATCACAGGCCCCACCTGGGTACCAGGACACTCATCTGTAACGTGGTAATAATAGAGCATGAACATGTACGTCGTCAAGGTTAAGCAAGCTGGTATACACATGCCATTCAGCCCAACAGCGGGCATGGACTGACAGAACTGTAAAGGCCGGCGGCCATCCTGACAACAACATACTGTTTATGTAACTCTTTCACTCAACAATGTCTGCCAAACACCCTCCTCAGTGCCTGGCTCTGATGAAACTAGGAAACGAGAAAGACAGTGTCTGCCTTCAAAGCACAGGGAGGGCAGGTGCTTTCACCGGTAGTTGCTAGGCTCTGCCAGGTGATCCCTCACCTGCCCAGGGCATTCTGGAAGGCTTCCCAAAGACAATGACTTGGGTAGGATTATTCCCACTTACTGATGAGAAGCCCAGGCACAAAGTGGCTATCTGAGAGCCAGTGCCCACCTCAGCACCCAATGCACAGCCCATAGAGGCCAGTGGGCTCCAGTCCAGGCATCCCTGCCTCAGGGACCCAGGCCTCAGGGTGAGGGTAAAGAATAGAAGCCACAGAGTCCTGTAGGTGCACCAGGGCTGGGAGAAACCATGACTATACCCTGGGGGCAAGGTGGGGCTTACCTGTAGATTTTGAGCCCTCCAGGAATGGCAACTCCATCCCTGACCCCCCTACCACAGGCCACCAGCCCTGACTCTTCCCAGCCATGTTTGACACTACAGTGTGTTTTCTAAATCAGAGGTGAGAACATACCCTCTCCACCTAACACTCCTTCAACTGCCCACTGTCCTCATGGCAAGCCCAGCTCCAACCGCAAACCAGCGTGAATGTGCCTGTCCCCACCTCCAGAGATACCTTCTTCCCTTCCCCAACCAGGAAGCCCTAGCCCATCACTACACAGGTGCTAGGCACCACCAGGCCATTCTCTGCCTCCCAGTGCTGGCTCCTCCTGGCTCAGGTCCCAGCACCCCACCCTCCCCACACCTCCAGGGCCTCCCAGCCCCCTCCTACCTGATCTTGCTCTGGCTGCCCCTGCCTGCTAAGGGGCCACTGATGTTGCTCTCCTGGTCGGCATCCCGGTCACGATCTTTCTCCTCTTGCAGCCGCTGGAGCAGCAGCTGGTGGGGGAGGCTTCTCAGCGAGGGTCCAGGAGAAGCTGCTGGCTGTGCCTCCCCCTTCAGGTTGATATCGCTGGCTGAGCGCTGCAGAGGCCGAGGGGATGCCAAGCCACTGGGGCCAGCCAGTCGCCGCCGCTTTGCATAGCTGGGGGTTTCCCTGAATGGTACTGGGGTAAGGGGGCATAGGTAAGACTCTGAAAAGCCAGCTGGGTAATTCTGCAGTTTGCCCAGGCTTTCCAGATGTTAAAACTAAATCCTATGTTCCAGGAACTGCCTTGCTTCCAGGCAAACCAAAGGAGTTGGCCACCCTACAAATGAAGCTACCATTAAAGGGCCACATCCCAGTCAAACTGCCTCTCACCCTAGCTTCAGAGGTAGAAGCCTGCTTCTCCACTCAGCCGAATGAGGCCTTGAGGATGCTCAGATATGCTCTAAGAACTGCATTTCACAAGCTTCAGGAGAGACAAAACAGGCTACATGTGACAAATCTCACCAGACTACTGCTGAACAGGACCATTTGTGGTTAACTATAACCAGGGAAACTATAAAAGACATTCTAGACCAGGGATCAGCAAACCTTTTCTGGAAAGAATTGGACAGTAACTACTTAAGGCTTTGCAAGCTATATAGTCTGTGTTGCAATGACTCAACTCTGCCACCGCAGTATGAAAACCACCACAAACAGCACATAAGCAAATAGGTGTGTTTGTGTTCCAATAGAATTTTACTTAAAAAGCAGATAGTGATTAAAAAGTATGAACAAGCTATATGCTACTTACAAAATAATCACTTTAAATCCAAAGACACAAATAGGTTCAAAGTGAAAGGATAAAAAAAGCAATGTAATGTAAATAGTAACCAAAAGAGAGCTGGGTGGTTATATTAATATCATACAAAATAAACTTTAAGATAAAAACTGTAACAAGAGACAGAGAAGGACATTGTATGTTGATTAACAATTATTAACATATACAAACCGAACAACAGAACATCAAAATATGATACAAACAACACAATTTAAGAGAGAAATAGACAGTTCCACAATAATAGCAAGAGACTTCAATATCTTACTTTCAATAATGGGTAGAACATCTGGAGAGATCAATGAGGACATAGAAGACGTAAACCAATTAGACTTAACGATACATACAGAACATGCCACCCAACAAGGGCAGAATATATTCAAGAATTCTTCTCAAGTACACATGGAACATTCTTCCAGACAGACTGTATGACTGCAAAACAAGTCTCAATAAAGTTTTAAAAGACTGAAATCATACAAAGTATATTTTTCAATCACAACAAAACAAAGCTGGAAATCGAGAAGTGAAAGAAAACTGAAAAATTCACAAATATGTGGAAATTAAACACCATACTCCTAAACAACCAGTGTCAAAAAAGAAATCAGGCTGAGCATGGTGGCTTAAGCCTGTAATCCCAGCACTTTGGGAGGTCAAGGCAGGAGGATCACTTGAAGCCAGGAGTTTGAGACCAGCCTAGACAACATAGTGACACCCCCATCTCTATAAAAAATAGAAAACGATAGCCAGGTGTGGTGCTGCACCCTGTAGTTCCAGCTACTCAGGAAGCTGAGGTGGCAGGATGGCTTGAGACCAGGAGGTTGAGGCTGCAGTGAGCTATGATCAAGCCAGGGCACTCCAGCCTGGGCCACAGAGTAAGATCCCATCTCTAAAAAAAAAAAAAAAGAAAAAAGAAAAAAAAAGAAATAAAGAAATGATAAGGAAAATTAGAAAACACTTTAAGACAAACAAGAACAAAAATACAACATATGGAGCAAAAGCAGTGCTTAAAGGGAAATTTAACGCTGTAAACACTTACTTTTAAAAAGGAGAACAATTTCAAATCAATAACCTAATTATACATCTTAAGAAACAAGAGAAGGCCAGGTACGGTGGCTCACGCCTGTAATCCTAGCACTCTGGGAGGCCGAGGCAGGCAGATAACCTGAGGTCGGGAGTTCGAGACCAGCCTGACCAACATGGAGAAACCCCGTCTCTACTAATAATACAAAAATTAGCCAGGTGTGGTGGTGCGTGCCTGTAATCCCAGCTACTCAGGAGGCTGAGGCATGAGAATTGCTTGAACCCGGGAGGTGGAGGTGGCAGTGAGCCAAGATTGCACCATTGCACTCCAGCCTGGGCAACAAGAGTGAAACTCCATCTCAAGAAAAAAAAGAAGAAATAAAAAAGAAACAAGAGAAGGCCAGGCTCAGTGGCTCATGCCTGTTATCCCAGCACTCTGGGAGGCCAAAGCGGGAGGATCACTTGAGCCCAGGAGTTCAAGACCAGCCTAGCAGCATAGTGAGACCTTGTCTGTATGAATGAACAAATAAAAGAAAAGAGACTGGGCACGGTGGCTCATGCCTGTAATCCCAGCACTTGGGAGGCTGAGGTGGGCAGATCACCTGAGGTCGGGAGTTCGAGACCAGCCTGACCAACACAGAGAAACTCTGTCTCTGAAAAATACAAAATTAGCTGGGCGTGGTGGCGGGTGCCTATAATCCCAGCTACTCGGGAGGCTGCGGCAGGAGAATTGCTTGAACCCAGTTGGCCGAGGTTGCGGTGAGCTGAGATCGCACCATTGCACTCCAGCCTAGGCAACAAGAGAGAAACTCTATCTCCAAGAAAAAAAAAAAAAAAAAAAAACAGAGAGAGAAGAAAAGAAGAAACTAGAGAAAGAAGAGCAAACAAAAGAAAGAGGAAGGAAGCAAGGGAGGGACGGACGGACTAGAGAAAGATGACCAAAAAGAAACAAACAAACAAGCAAACAAGAGAAAGAGCAAACCAAACGAGCAAAAGAAAGAAAAGCAAGCAGAAGGAAGGAAACAGTAAGATTAGAGCAGAGATAAAGAAAAGAGAAAAACAGTGGAGAATCAAGGAAATAAAAGGTTGTTTCTTTGACAATATCAACATAATTGACAAACCTTTAGCTAGATTGACTAGTAAGGAGAGAAGATGGACAGAAATAACTAAAATCACAAATGAAATTTGGGGACTTACTACCAGTATTACAGAAGTTAAAAAGGAATATAATACTATGAACAATTATATGCCAACAAATAGGAAAGCTAGATGAGGTAGACAAATTTCTAGAAAAACACAAATTACCAAAACTGACTCAAGAAGAAATAGAAAATTTAAACAGACCTATAACAAGCAAAGAGATTGAATCCTTAACCACAAGCCTCCCAACGAAGAAAAGTCCACCACCAGATGGCATCACTGGTGCACTCTACTAGAAATTTAAAGAATTGACACAAATTCTCAAACTCTTCCAAAAAGCAGAAAAGGAGGGAACACTCCCTCATTTCATGAGGCCAGTATTACCCTGATACCAAAGCCAGATAAGGGCATTACAGGAAAAGAAATCTACACACTAATGTAATCAATATAATACATCACATTAATAGAGAAAAGGGGGGAAAAAACCATGATCATTTCAATTGATGCATAAAAAGCATCTGCCATGATCCGACACTCTTTCATTATAAAAACACTCAGGAAACTAGTAATAGAGGCTAGTAACTTCCTCAACATAATAAAGGAAATTTATTAAAAATCCGAAGTGCTTGCTTCAGCAGCACATATACTAAAATTGGAATGATACAAAGATTCGCATGTCCTCTGCACAAGGATGACATGCAAATTTGTGAAGCATTCCATATTTTAAAAACAAACAAACAAGCACACACATAGATAGCATCATACGCAATGGTGAAAGACTGAATGCTTTCCCCCTAAGATCAGGAACAAGGCAAAGATGCCTGCTTTCACTACTGGTATTTAACACTGTACTGAAAGTTCTAGACAGGAAAAAAAAAAAAAAAGGTACCCAAATTGGGAAAGAAGAAGTAAAACTATCTCTATTTGCAGATGGCGTGATCCTATATATAGACAATCCCAAAGAATACACCAAAAGAGCTACTAGAGCTAATAAATAAATTCAGCAAAGTTGTAGGCCACAAGATCAGCACAAAAAAATCACTTGTTTTTATACACCAGCAATGAACAATCCAAAAAGGAAATTAAGAAGATAATTCCATTTATAATAGCATCCAAAAGAAGAAAATACTCAAGAATAAATTTAACTAAGGAAGTAAAAAAATCTATATACTGAAAATGACAAAACACTGCTTAGAGATGACCTAAATAAATAAAAGGACATCCCATGTTCATTAATTGGAAGACAATGGTGTTAAAATGTTAATGTCACCTAGAGTGATTGACAGATTCAATGCAAAATTCCAATGTCCCTTTTTGCACAAATAGAAAAGCAATGTTCAAATTTATATGGTATTGCAAGGGGCCATGATTAGCCAAAACAATAACAAATAAGAAGAACAAAGTTGAAGCACTCAAACCTCCTGATTTCAAAAGTTACTACATGATGGGTGCAGTGGCTCATGCCTGTAATCCCAACGCTTTGGGAGACGGAGGTGGATCACCTGAGGTCAAGAGTTCGAGACCAGCCCGGCCAATATGGTCAAACCCCATCTCTACCAATAATACAAAAATTAGCTGGGCATGGTGGCACACACCTGTAATCCCAGCTACTTTGGAGGCTGAGGCAGGAGAATTGCTTGAACCTGGGAGGTGGAGGTTGCAGTGAGCTGAGATTGCGCCATTGCATTCCAGCCTGGGTACAAGAGCAATACTCCATCTCCAAAAAAATAAAAATAAAAAGTTACTACAAAGCTGCAATAATCAAAACCATGTGGTACTGGCATAAGAATATACATGTAGACCACTGGGATAGAATTGAGAGTCCAAATAAACCCACATATCTAGGATCAATTCATTTTCAACAAGGGTGCCAAGACCACTCAATGGGAATAGAATAGTCTCTTCAACAAAGGGTCCTGGACAATTGGATATTCATATGCAAAAGAATGAAGATGGCTCCCTACCTCACACCATAAACAAAAGTTAACTTAAAATGGATCAGTAACCTAAATATAGGAGTGAAAACCATAAAATTCTTAGAAGAAAACCTAGAGGATAAAGCCTCGTGACCTATGACACCAAAAGCATGAACAACAAAAGAAAAAAATAAATACCTTGAACTTTATCAAAATTAAAAATTATTGAATATCAAAGGACATTAACAAAAAAGTGACAAGGATCTCCTATTCTACAGAGAAAATATTTACAAATCACATATTCCATACAAGTTTAGTATTCAGAATATATAAAGAACCCTTACAACTCAACAACAACAAAAATAAATGACCCAATTTAAAAATGGACAGAGGACTTGACTATTCTCCAAAGAAGATATACAAATGCCCAATAAGCACATGAAAAGATGCAGAGGCCGGGCGCGGTGGCTCAAGCCTGTAATCCCAGCACTTTGGGAGGCCGAGAAGGGCGGATCACAAGGTCAGGAGATCGAGACCATCCTGGCTAACACGGTGAAACCCCGTCTCTACTAAGAAATACAAAAAACTAGCTGGGCGAGGTGGCGGGCGCCTGTAGTCCCAGCTACTCGGGAGGCTGAGGCAGGAGAATGGCGTGAACCCGGGAGGCGGAGCTTGCAGTGAGCTGAGATCCGGCCACTGCACCCCAGCCTGGGCCACAGAGCAAGACTCCGTTTCAAAAAAAAAAAAAGAAAAGATGCAGAACATCATTAGTCACTAGGGAAATACAAGTCAAAACCACAATGAAATACCATTTCACACTTACTAGGATGGCTATAGTCAAAAAAAAAAAAAGGATAGTAACAACTGTTGAAGATGTGAACAAATTGGAAGCCTCTTACATCACTGGTGGGAATGCAAAATGGTGGAAAACAGTTTGGCAATTCCTCAAGAAGTTAAACATAGAATTATCATATGATTCCAAAATTCCATTCCTAGGTATATACCTAAGAGATTGAAAATAGGTATTCAAACAAGTACATGTACACACATGTTGATAGCAGCCATATTCAAAATAGTCAAAAGGTAGACACAACCCACATCTCCATTGACAGATGAATGCATAAACAAAATGTCATTTATACCAACAGTGAAATATTATTCAGCCATAAGAAGGAATGAAGTAGTGATATATCCTACAAGGTGAAGCTCAAAAACATGCTGAGTAAAAGCAGCCAGACACTGTGTCACATATTATATGATTCCATTGACATGAAATATCAAGAATAGGTAAATCTATAGTCCACAGAGACGAAAGTGCGTTAATGGCTGACAGAGTTGGAGGGAGAGGGTAATTAATGCAGAATTATTGCTTAATGTGTCCAAAGTCTTATTCTGTGGTGATGAAAATGTTTTGGAATTCAACAGAATTGGCTGCACAACACTGTGAATATACAAAATGCTACTGAATCATTCTGGCCTAGAAGTGGTCACCTCTGCTTCCTTGCCTCTGTCACATCAGGCCACTCTTTGGGTCCACACTGTCTGTCTCTTACCCTCTCTCAGGCACACACTCCCAGGCACAGGTGTGTTCTCATGGGCATGACACCACCCTGGAGAAGCAGTTCCCCAAGTACTCATCAAAAGCACTGTGGGATCCAACTCCGCCCCCCAGGCCTGTCAGTCTAGGCGGGGCAAGCAGGGCTGTCAAGAGGCAGCAAGTTATCCTGTCCCCTGAAGGGTGACACAGGTCCCGGTCTACCAGATCCCACCGGGTGGCACCTTCCCACCAGAGAAGGTGGCACCTCCTTCCAGTTCCTCTTACGTGTACAGGCCCCACTCTGGGACCCCAGTGGGGACAGGATGTCGCAAGTCATGACTGTCATGTCCTTGGAGCAAATGTGTACAGAGGGCATGAGAGTGACAAGGGCAGACCCTGAATCAATCACATCTGAAGTAACCCAGTTTCCTCTGTGCCTCAGTTTCCTTCTCTGTAAAACAGTCTAATAAATCACTTCTTGGGAGATTGTTGAGAGGGCAAATTGAGATAAGGGGCTTGTATTAAATCCTGACAAATATGCTGCCTGTGCTCAGGGCAACCTGGCGGCGTCACCCTGTGTCTGTGCGACACCTGAGCGGGTCAGGGTGGTGCCCTAGCGTCTGTGTGACACCTGAGCGGGTCAGGGTGGTGCCCTAGCGTCTGTGTGACACCTGAGCGGGTCAGGGTGGTGCCCTAGCGTCTGTGTGTGACACCTGAGCGGGTCAGGGTGGTGCCCTAGCGTCTGTGTGACACCTGAGCGGGTCAGGGTGGTGCCCTAGTGTCTGTGTGTGACACCTGAGCGGGTCAGGGTGGTGCCCTAGTGTCTGTGTGTGACACCTGAGCGGGTCAGGGTGGTGCCCTAGTGTCTGTGTGTGACACCTGAGCGGGTCAGGGTGGTGCCCTAGTGTCTGTGACACCTGAGCGGGTCAGGGTGGTGCCCTAGTGTCTGTGTGACACCTGAGCGGGTCAGGGTGGTGCCCTAGTGTCTGTGTGTGACACCTGAGCGGGTCAGGGTGGTGCCCTAGCGTCTGTGTGTGACACCTGAGCGGGTCAGGGTGGTGCCCTAGTGTCTGTGTGACACCTGAGCGGGTCAGGGTGGTGTTGGCCCACAGAGCTGATGACCACATCAGGATGAACTGACACAGACGCCCGCTCCTTACCACTCAGGGACGTGTGTCTAACCCCAACCGAGCAAGCACACTTGGGTTGGATGGCCAATAACTCACAACCATGGTGACCCCAAGAGCCCTGGGGTATCTGTCCACAGCACACAGACGAGGGGCAGAGGGGGCCTTCCCACCCTCCCTCCAAGCAACTAGACCAAGGCCACCGGCCAGAGTCCAGCCCCACCCAGGATCAAATGCCACAGGAGGCCACAGGGGGAAGGGGATGCAAATGACTGTAAGAGACCATGTTTCACTTAAGAGAAACTGAGGCGCAGAGCTCCTAGACAGCTTTCCCACGGTTAAGACAATTACAGGTAGAAGAGGAGGCCCCACACATGCACAAACCAGGGCCCTCCAACACTAAGGGCCACATCCAAAGCACCAGCCCAAACCAGAAGTATCTGTTGCCCCTTACGCAAACCCCAAACCTTACCACAGTTCTCCCCCGACCTGACCCTGGACTCCGACCCTACCCATTCCACTGGCCCAGTTACTTACTCAACACACACTTCCCTGCAGTGGCCTTGAGAGCAGCTCTGGCCCTCACTGAGGGTCTGCCACAGCCTCAGATGGTTCAACTAACACAGCCTGGGGTGGAGGGGCTCATAACCAAGCCTTACAGGGGGATGTTCAGGGGGAACGCTACAGAAGAAGGGCTCTTAAACATGAAACTGACCTTAATCTTAACCCCAGTCCAAAATTCAACTCCAGCCCTGACCATAACCTCACACTAGAACCAAGTGAGATTCCAACCCTAACACCTGCTCCAAATGTTTGCTGCCCACTGTCACTTCAAATTAAAACAAAAACAAAAAATGGGGATACCCACAAGTAAACACTCATGGCAGGAAGGGGGTCCTGGGAGTCCATGTTCCAGAGAGAGGCACAGGCAGAAAAGCCTGGACCACGCAGGACACGGCGGGATCAGCAAGGGAGCTCCTGTGCAGCCAGGAGGCTGGAAGGTCCTCAACAGGAGGGTCCCAGCCTGGCCAGCAGCAGCTCTCCCACAGGGGAGCCCAGCCTCTCCGGCAGCCACACCCACCAGAGACCTCCCAGAGGCTCGCGTGTCCTGGCTGAGGCCACATGTGTGTCCTGGTTTTCCTTCCA